TGCTGATGGTCAACTGCGACACCCCAAATGTTCAGACATATCTTGGATAAAAATAACCCTAATAACTACATTATTAGTGATGTCAATAGACTAATTGATTGAGGAACTTGTGTCCAACAATCCACAATGGACAGCAGTTCCTTAAAATAAAAAAAGTTGTCTCGGCAACTTGCGAATCGGCAAGTTCATGGGGTCTCCCTTTTGCTCTGCATCTCTAAATTCCTAGGTCGCAGCAGCCACTACTGCCAGTGCCTGTGAGACACACCCACTACCCACCCCTGGTGAACAATGCTAGGCTTGCAGCTAAGGACCTCAAAATGAGATGGTTTTGCCTCAAAATACATCTAGCACTATGACACAAACAAGATTCGATTCATCTCATATGAAACGTACAACGAGGAGCTATTTGGGGTCACTCACCCAAGTATCAGACAAATGCTGTATGAGAATACTGCACCAATGTACACACTGGGAGGTAAAGCAAAGGCAGTTTTAATGTGTATTCAATGGTAAAAGATTGCAAAAACAGAGCTTTGAGGCACAATTTGATAAGCTTTGCTTACATGTTTCAAATGAAGAACCTCAACTTGAGCCAGATGCTGCTTGGCAAAGCCTTTTTAAAATAATCACATTCTTAAATCATATGCTAAAAATCTCTCAAAGTACAAAAAATGAGCTCTGCCTACAGCAGCCAGTTAAAGCAGATATAAACCCAGGCAAAGTGCTCAGTGAGGTAGGTATGACCACATCAGACCTTAAAATGCCATCTGAAAGCTTAACCAAACAACTGCCTGACCGCAAGAACCACGACTAGGTTTCCAAACCAAGGGCTTCACGGCACTGATTTTTGTGTTCTCCCCCAGGAAGCGAGCACTTTGCAGAGCCAGGCCAGTGGAGGGGTGACTGTCAAAATGAACCCAGCACCAGACATGGATCTAGCCAAGCTGCTGAACACCACAAGGGCGCAGTTAGGAGGGGGTGGCTGAGCAAAACCACAAGGAGACTGAGGAGCAATTTAACAAGCAGGAGGCTTGGGGCTGGCAGAGCTAGAGGACCAGCACCCCAAGCCAGGCAGCTGCACGTCTTTGATTCCACAGTACTTGGTTCAATGCTTGCAGAGTGAATCCTCACAGATGCAGATCACCACAGAGGCAAGCGCCTCAGTGTAGCTGTGAGAGACATCCTGGAACTGAAATAAGCCTTCTCGTCTCTCCAGACTGAACTGTAGTCTGTCCTGGACATGGTGGGTGAGAAAGTGTTTTGTCAAAACTTTTAAAAATCCCTCATTATCATGAACCCAATTCTACCTTATAAATCCAGCTAGACCAGAGCATGTACATGGGTACAGATAAGAGCTCAAAACACAGGGAATCCAGGACAGATAAACCCCGCAGGACCAATAACGAGAGTAGCAATGCCAGGAAGGTAAGGGGAAGGTGGGGGGAGAAAGAGAGAACTGATCACAATGATCTACATATAACCCCTCCCTGGGGGACAGACAGCAGAAAAGTGGGTGAAGGGAGACAGCAGTCGCTGTATGATATGAAAATAATAATTCATAGATTATCAAGGGCTCAAGAGGGAAGGAGGAAGGGTGGGGGGAGGGGGGAATGAGCTGATACCAAGGGCTCAAGGAGAAAGAAAATGTTTTGAAAATGATGATGGCAACCTGTGTTCAAATGTGCTTGACACAATGGATGGATGTAGGATTATGATAAGAACTGTATGAGCCCCCAATAAAATGATTTTTTTTAACTCTTTCGACTTATGTGGGCAAATCTTTGGCATGTATAATATGGCAACAAATAATCTCATGGTAAACATTGTATGAGATGGACTAAGGTTGTTCTAGAGAGTCGCTGGGTGGCACAAACAGTTAAGCACCTCACTACCAACCAGTTAAGCACAGAGCTACTAAAAGGTTGGTGGTTTGATTCCATCTAGAGGCGCCTCAGGAGAGAATCCTGGCAATCAACTTCTGAATTGTGACAGCCATTACAAACCCCACAGGGTTCCCTTCTACGCTGATGCCTGGGGGATGGCCAGGAGTCAGAATCCACCAACTGACAACAACCGGCTTCTGCACACTGAGTAAGCTCTTTTCCTACCCTACAAAGATAGGCTAGAGTGATTCCCTTGAAAATATGGTTTGTGAACTAATCTTTAGTAAAATGCTCTCCTTTTTTAGATTCATATAAAAGCAGAGGAACCAGGACAAGGACAGCTCATGGCCAACTGATTTCATCACAAGTCAACAGTGTTTCGGATGTTAAATAGGCGGGAGATGTGCTCCAGAACCAAGACCCAAGAAGTAAGTGATTGTGTGAGTCTGGGTACTTTAGAGAAACAAATCCACAGAAACTCATGTAAAAGAGAGTTTTATATAAAGGTTAAGTGCACATCAAGAAAACATCCCAACCTAGTGCTGCCCAACCCCACAAGTCCAACATTAACCCATTAACCTATATAGATGTCCAACACCAATCCACAAAGTCCTCCTCCAACTCAAAACACACACTATGACGCCGACTGCAGGAGGAAAGTCAAATCAGTGAACATGTAAGCATCTCAGCGCTGGCAGGGGGCTCACATGGTTGCTCCAGCACCCAGGGCTGCATCCGGGTAGGTCCATGCTGCTTCTCCTCAGGAATGTCTTGCAGGAAGTGAGCCTTGCCAGCTGGAGCAGGGAACTGCTAAGGCAGTGCACCCTGGTGCGACCATCACAGAGCAAGAGACCCGAGAACTAGAAAGGCAAGGCTCACCGAGCCATTTATCCCTCTGCCCTTCCATTAACCCCACCTATGTTTATCAGCCAGGTTGGCACAATAAACTAACCACTTTAGTGATGGATCCTAACCAATATGGGGAGCAAGTCAATAAGCCTGACAAGAAGCGCGTCAGTTACTCTTGTGACCCTTTCTGATCGTCTTCCGTCTTTCTGGTATTCTTTGGTCTTTTTTTGGTTTGGTCTTGTCTTTTTTTTAAAATGTAAAATACGTTTTCCTTCTTAATCATTCTATTTTAACAAAACTTCCTACTTGTTGTAAATCAATCAGTCCTTTTAGTCTTTGTTATTTTGTTCACACTGGCTTTAAAAAAAAACAGCTTTATTGAAATATAATTCACATACCATGTAATTCACACATTTAAAGTGTACAGTTTGTGTTAGGCCGGGTTGACTTGAGAAACAAATCCAGGGACATTCAAATATGTATAAGAAATAGTTTTAGTTTTTTTTAAGTTGTCTACCCTAATTATTTTTTGTTGTTATTGTTGTTGTTATTTTTTTTAACATTTTATCAGGGGCTCATACAACTCTTATCACAATCCATACATGTATCAATTGTGTAAAGCGCATTTGTACATTCATTGCCCACATCATTCCCAAAACATCTGCTCTCCACCTAAGCCCCTGGCATCAGCTTCTCATTTTTTCTCCTTCCTCCCCACTACCCCCTCCCTCATGAACCCTTGATAATTTATAAATTATTATTTTATCATATCTTGCCCTGTCCACCATCTCCCCTCACCCACTCTTCTGCTGTCCATCCCCCAGGGAGGAGGTCATATGTAGATCCTTGTAATTGGTTCCCTGCTTCCAACCCACCCTCCATCCACCCTCCCAGCACTGCCACTCACACCACTGGTCCTGAAGGGATCATCCGCCCTGGATTCTGTGTTTCCAGCTCCCATCTGTACCAGTGTACATCCTCTGGTCTAGCCAGATTTGCAAGGTAGAATTGGGATCATGATAGTGGGGGAGGAGGAAGCATTTAGGAACTAGAGGAAAGTTGTATGTTTCATCATTGTTATGTCACACCCTGACTGGCTCGTCTCCTCCCCGAGACCCTTCTGTAAGGGGATGTTCAGTGGCCTACAAATGGGCTTTGGGTCTCCATTCCGTACCCCACCCCCTCATTCACTATGATCTGATTTTTTGTTCTGATGATGCCTGATACCTGATCCCTTCAACACCTCGTATTCGCACAGGCTTGTGTGCTTCTTCCATGTGGGCTTTGTTGCTTCTGAGCTAGATGGCTGCTTGTTTACCCTAAAGCCTTTAAGACCCCAGACACTATATCTTTTGATAGCCGGGCACCATCAGCTTTCTTCGCCACATTTGCTTATGTACCCATTTGTCACCTAAATGCTCACCTAACTTCAGTGATCGTATCAGGAAGGTGAGCACACAATGATATGATTTTTTGTTCTTTGATGCCTGATAACTGATCCCTTTGGCACCTGGTGATCACACAGGCTGGTGTGCAAGAAAGAGTTTTATATTAAAGAGTAATTGCATATTAAGAAAACATCCCAGTCTAATCCAAACCAAGTCCAAAAGTCCAATACTAGTCCATAAATCTCTCTTCAGACTCACACAGCACATGCAATGATGCAAAATGCAGGAAGTTCACAGGCCAGTGGATGCAAAGTCTTGTGGATCCAATGGTGGTAGAAAACTCTCAGAACCGGCACCAGTCTTCACGTGGCTCCTCCAGCTATCTGAGTGTGGCTCTTCAACAGGAAGGTGAAGTAGAGTGTCCCATCTCCAAGAAGAAAGAGAGGAATGGATGTATGTATGGATTGTGAGAAGCATTGTATGAGCCCCCAATAAAATGAGTTTTTTTTCTTTTTTATTGTTGTCCCCCCCACCAAAAAGATTTTTTTTTAAAGGAAAGAGAAGAAGTTCCAAGAATCCTCATGCGAAGGCCACAACCTCCAGGAGGCATCATCAGACTGTGACCTGATTGACAGGCTAGACCCCACCCCGACACTAATTTATCAAGTTGACATGAAATTATGTAACTGCCACACAATTCAATAGCTTTTTTAGGATACTTAGAGTTTGTACAACCATTCCCAATTTTAGGACTCTTTCATCATTCTGAGCCCTGGTGGTGTCAGCCAGTGGTTTGAAACTACTAACCTCATAGTTAATAACCCACTACACCATGGGGTTCCTCCTACCTAGAAAAAGCAGTACTAATACGCATGAAACTATGCTCACTTCAGTGGCACACATACCAAAATCGGAATGATACAGAGAAGATTAACCTGACCCTGGGGCAAGGATAACACACAAACTCATGAAATATGTATATATATATATATATAAATAGGAATGATACAGAGAAGATTAACCTGACCCTGGGGCAAGGATAACACACAAACTCATGAAATATGTATGTATATATATATATATATATATACACCTCGAATACAAAGTTGATGATCTGAAATGTAAATGCTCACCTAACTTACAATATGTTTTTTAATTTTAATAATAACACTGTGCCAAAAGTAAGGAAGCTACGTGCTTTTATAAAGAAGAGTTAGGAGGTCTGGCTTGAACTGTCAGACAGCAAAACGTCTAGGTAGCAGATATCGTCAAGGCCCACGCATCCAGCCCCCTGCTGCTGGGACAACGAGCTGCAGGCTACTCCCAGTGGTGCCCTCACTGGACACTGCCCTGGGCTTTAGGGAGCTGGCTCGCTCAAGATCGGGCCAATCATCCACAGGCCAGAATGTCTGTGGGCCTGTGACTGGCTATCGTGGAGATGCAAAGGCCCAACAACCTTGCCTCAAACTGGGACAACTCTGCAGAGCCAGCCCAGCTGCCGAGCTCCCCCGAACATCAGCTGAAGCCTCTATTGACGTTGAGCAGCATTGCAGACAGCGCCCCCATCGGCCCAGTCCTACCTCTCCCACTTCCTTGCAAGTGTCTCTCCAAAGAGCACTCCCTGAGGAACCCGTCCCAGTTTCTCCATCTCAGAGTCCGTTTCCAGAAAAGGGATTTAGGAAAACTGTACACAGTTACAACAATTAAGACAACCGGTCACCAACAAATCGGTGTGTTCAAAGTAGATTCTTCAATAAAGCCTGCAGAAATAATTATTGGTTAGCTTCTGGGGGTTGCCGGGGGATTGGATACGACATACTTCACACCATCCAATAAAATTCATTCCGCAGGAATTACACAAATATAAAAAGATTAAACCTTTGAAGACTTGGCATTTTACAAAAATAATATTTCACTCTTTGGGGTCTGATTAGGGCCCCTTTTGTCCAAAAAGCAAAGGCAGAAATCATGAAGTGCAAGGAGGCTAATCGGAAAAATAAACAACAAGAAGCAAAAACACAAACATTTTAAGCTTGTTTTAATTTTAATTTAAAAATATGGTTAAAAGCCATCCCAAAACCAAGAAGGATTGAGCAGAGAGAGAGAGTCCTATTTGGAATCTATCGTTTATACCATCGGCTATGGCTGAGCTGCTAACCACAGTTCAATTCCACCAGCGGCGCCGAAGGCTTTCCGCTCCCGGAGAGTTCCCGTCTAGAAACCCACCGGGGTACCTCCACCCTGTGCTCTGGACTCAGGAGTCAGCATCCCTCCCAGGCAGTGGGTTGGTTTAGCCTTTGCTTTGCCCTACCTGCAGTAGCCCTACCTGCAGTCTGGCGCCACCTGCTGGCAGCTGTCTTCTCCGCCCAGAGTCAAGAGCAATCTGGAGTGGAGGCATCAGCAACCGATTTCATTGACCTGAGTCATTCTCCGTTTCCCCATTCCTTGTTCTCCTCTTTTCTAAGCACCTCCTCCTCCACCTGTCCACCTGTCACATCTCCTCTCCCCGGCCCTCAGAAAATTCGCATTTGTGAGAGGGCAGGATGCAAAGTGGAAGCCAATACACTCAAACTCACTGCCAGTGAGTCGGTTGCAATTCATAGTGATCCGAAAGGGCAGGGTCCTGTGGGTGTCAGAGCCTGTCAATCTTCACATGAGCAGAAAGCCTCCTTTTCTCCCACAGGGTGGCTAGTGGTTTCTAACTGTTGGCCTTGCAATGAACAGCCGATCTTGCAATCCATTTCTTCACCAGGAGTCAAGAGACAGTCGTGTATACGCCCTGGTGGTGTAGTGTTGGGCCGGTGATCACAAGGACAGTGGTTCGAAACCACCAGCCACTCCACAGGAGGAACGCTTTCTACTCCTGTAAAGAGGTAAGCCTCCAAACCCACAAGGGCAGTTCTATCCACCCTGTCCTGCACGGTCACTAGGAGTAGGATGGACTCAGTGGCAGTGAGTTTGGTTTGGTTCGGTGTGATACTGGAGTTCTTCAGTATATGATATTTACTGGGAAATGATAGGATATTCCCAGTATTTAAACTCATGTCCAGATCTTTAGGTAAGAAATAGCCATAACAATAAAAAAGTCATAACATACCTAAGCAATTCTTAAAATAGTAATGGCCAACAAACAAATGTGCTCAATGCTACACACAAACACAAAAATTTTTTTTAACTAAATTAAAATAAAGATATTCCATTTTCAACATCAGAACAAGTCAAAATGTTTTAATGATCGTATCTTTTTGTGTGGGTAGGGAGGGGTAAGGATTTAATGCATTGCTGGGTGGAATTTAAGTTGGATAAACCTTCAAGATAACAGTTCTGCAAAGTATACAAAGAGCTTTTAAAAGGTTGTTTGTTTGTTTTCATGAAAAGCATTTCTTTACACTGGAAGTTCTACTTCTACAGTGTTTCTCAACTTGTGGGTCGCGACCCCTTTGGGGGTCGAATAACCCTTTCACAGGGGTTGCCTGATTCGTAACAGTAGCAAAATGACAGTGATGAAGTAGCAACAAAAATAATGTTATGGTTGAGGGGTCACCACGAAATGAGGAACTGTATGAAAGGGTCGCAGCAGGAAGAATGTTGAGAACCACTGTTCTAGAAGCTTATGCTCCAACTATTGGTTAGCCTTACCAGTTTCCTTCAAGCCAATGCCAACTCTTGCCACCCCTGTGTGTGTCACAGCAGAACTGTGATCCGTAAAGTTTTCAAGAGCTGAGATTGCAGAAGTAGATCATCAGGGCTTTCGGCCAAGGCACCTAAGGGTAGACTCAAACCTAGAACCTTGTGGTTAGTGACCAAGTGTGTTAACTGCTTGTACCAACAACAGACTCCGAACAACTGGTAGGTTTGAAAAAATAAACATTCATCTTAGCAGTGGGTTTCATAATAAAAACATGAGACAGAGCACAATGTCCAATATTAATGCACAAACTACCCTATGAAGCACTCATCAAAGTCCATCAAAGGAGTGCCCTGTATCCAGGGACAATGGGGTTGTTCATCTATCCACCCCAAAAGAGGCCAGCTCTACTCTGAGGAAGAAACAATAAAACAAAGTTCAAAATAATAGATCATTTACTTTTGTGATAGTAATTGCATACAAGTCATGCACAGGCTTATAAAAATATGGAAAATATATTGACATCAAAATGTTAGCATTGATTCTGTATGAGTAGTAGAAATATACATGTTACTCATTTTCTGCAGCTTCTTTATAAGTTTTTTCTAATTTTTCTGAAATACATGTCTATTGTTTGTAGTTTTTTAATTTGTTAAGAAAAATCATTTATATGTTTAAATGTGTTTACAATGAATATGTGCTTGTTTTCATTTTTAAGGAAAAATAGAAGAAGTAATTGACCCATAGGTGGTAGAAAGAGTGAAAATAATAAGAGGGGAAGAGTACGTGGGGAGGACAGGAAGTAGGTATGATAGGGATGGGTGGGAACAAGAAATGCAGCCTAAGAGAGGCAGGTCCTGGGAGAAACGAAACTGTGGCTGCAGAGAAAGAAGAGACTTGGGCCTGGTTAGGGCTTGTTCCAGAACTTATCATGCCCAAAGTGGTTCTTGAAACACCTAGTCACCTGCAATAAGTGGCCTCAGGTTAGGACTTAGAGCATCCATTTGCTCTATTCAGAAATAGTTGTGTCTTCTCTATACCCCGAAGGGCAATGTGAGGCCCTCAACTTGCAGTTGCAGGCCACCAAGAGAAGAAAACAAGATGTAGCCAGCCCTCTTTCACTAAGGTTGTCCAAGCACCCAATTCCTCTCTCTCCATCCACAGCAGAAGCCACGGAGGAGAACAAATGCTTGGTGGGAACTGCTCCTCTCTCGATCTGGTCAGACCCAGATCAGAACTCTTCCAGTTCTTTTCTTCCTTCTTAGAAAGACCTGCCTTCTGATCCGATCACCCCACTGGGTCCTCCCTACACTCTGGAAACCATACCAGGTGGTCTCCTTACCTTGACATTCCTTCCCATTTAAGGCCACTGTCTACCTACTGTGGCTCTCGGGGGCCCTTTCTCCTGTATGAGTCCGGCTGTCTCTCCAACGGGCCTCAGGGCAGTGCAGATAGAGACCATGGACCTCAGCCTGCCTGTGCCTCTGTCCCTGTTTTGAGCCTTGAGGGAACTTGGCTGACTGGAACAAAATAGCCACAGGGTGGTAAGAATCATTTGGTGAAGTACTAGGAAGATTTCCAACTGTGTTGTTGATGTTGACTTGAACATGATATAATCCTACAATTATGTTCATCTTTTCTGTGCCCACAATGATGTCTCCTTTCTCATTTCTGTTGTTAGGTGCCATCGAGTTGATTCCAACTGATTGTGACCTGTGGGCAACAGAACAAAACACTGTCTGGTCCAGGGCCATCCCAAAACTGTGCTCATATTTGAGCCCACTGTTGCAGCCACTGTGTCGATCCATCTTGTCAAGAGCCTGCCCATTTCTAAGCTTATACACATATTGGCTCTTTCTCTCTTAACAAGTCTCATGAAGAGGTTATCTATATTGCTGGTTATCTATATCTATATCAAAGAACCAGTTTTTGAATGTACAAGGGAGCTTCACATGCTTGTGAAAAGTAGAATTGAAACATAAAGGAATTTTTCCATAAACTTTTTCCCATAAGTGTTTGAAGTCCTCTCATATTTGTGTCTATTGCTTTTTATGTCAACCACCCCAAGTTTTAGCTCTACAATTTATTTTTCCTATATTTAATCTTTTTTTCCTCTTAGAAAGTTGTACGCACAAAGGTTTCATCTTTAGGTTTCTTCTTTGATGATATATCTAATTGAGGCTATGATTTTCCTCAAGGTGCAGTTTTAGTCCCATGAACTGTTTTTTTCATCACTTTCTCAGTGTAATATCAGCTTTGATTTCTTCTTTGGCCTATGGGTTTTTAAGGAGGATGTATCGTATTTTACAAATGAAGGCACATCTGGGATTTTAATTATTATTATTGAATTCCTCTCATTA